GAAGTGGAGACACAGAGAGAGAAACACCAATGTGAGAGAAATACATTGATTGGTTGCCTCCCACATGTGCCAAACCAGGGCTGGGGATCGAGCCTGCAACCTAGGTATATGTCTTTGACCAGAATCGAACCCAGGATCCTTCAGTGACAGGCTGACGCTCTATCCATTGAGCCAAACTGGCAATGGCGAAGCTTTTTATTTTGATGTAGTCCCATTTGTTTATTTTCTTCTTAGTTTCTATTGTCCTAGGAGCTATATTGGTAAAGATATTGCTATGACAAATGTCTGATATTTTGCTGCCTATGTATTCTTCTAAGATTTTTTTATGGTTTCCCATCTTACATTTAAGACCTTTATCCATTTTGAGTTTATTTTTGTGTATGGTGTAAGTTGGTGGTCTAGTTTCATTTTTTTGCATGTATCTGTCCAATTTTCCCAACACCATTTATTGAAGAGACTGTCTAGACTCCATTATATGCTCTTGCCTCCTTAGTCAAATACTAATTGAGCATAATGGCTTGGGTCGATTTCCCCACATAACATTTAAATAACTTAGATGGGTTTGGGAGACAAGTAACTATAGCTTGTTCTTAGAATGAATTCCAACTTTACAGTAATCAACCAGTTCTTTATTAGACAGTAATCTGTCCCATGTGGCTCCAGCATTAAATTTACAAAGGTTTTTTGATATGTGCGTGGTTGCTGTTTGCAGTTTTAGCACAGGGGTAAATAAAAAGCGAGACGCCAGGTCTGCCCTTATCCTGAACCAGGGATCAGAAATAGTTCTATTAATGTACCTGGCTTATACCTCACTTTCCCTGAACATTGAGTTAAATTAATAATGTGAATCATTCCCAACTATTGGAGCATCGTTTTTTCACTAATGTTTTTAATATATATGATATATCCAATATTTAGGAACTGGATTTGTATTTATGTCAAAGTGAAAAAGTTTAAATTGATTTCTGATTCTCTATTTTTAAGGATTTTTTTTTTTTTGGTTAATTCTCTCCCAAGAATATTTTTTCCCCACTGATTTTTAGAGTGGAAGGGAAGGAGCAAGGGGTGGGGGAAAGAGAGACAGAGAAACATGAATGTGAAAAGGACACATGGATTGGTTGCCTCCCGCACACGCTGGGGCCTGGGATGAACCTGCAACCTAGGTATGTGCCCTTGACCGGGAATCGAACTTGTGACCCTTGGGTGTGCAGGCCGGCGCTCTGACCACTGAGAAACACCGGCCAGGGCTCTTTTTAAGTTTTAATACATACAGAGCAAATTAACTTGTTTATCAGTGTGTGTGTGTGTGTGTGTGTGTGTGTGTGTGTGTATGATATAGATTCTATACAATTAGAAACCTTGCTGTTAATACTTAGAACTAATTTGCTCATTAGAGACTATATTTAGCAGCAGTTGCTGGGTTTGCATTTTGAGTTTAGTGAACAAAAAGTGAAGAGAGGATGCGGAGGACCCTGGCAGTGGGTCTCCCCCAGGTACTCACAGTGTGTGCACCCCGGTCCCTTACTTCCGCACAGTGGGGGTCATGAAGTCCCTGTCTCGGGGTTTGAGGGCCAAGTGGAGGAGTGTTTGCAGAGCATTGAGGTTGGCATAGATGAGACGCCTGGTGAAGAGTAGCCCTTGCTACACTGTTCTGTGCTGCTCTTCTCCAGGATAAATTGTGTTCTTTTTATAGAAATTTGCATAACATTTTATTTTTGTGCCAGACGTAATAAAGACTATGACAATAATAGTCTTTCTAATTCTCTGGCTTCCTAGTTTTTTTTGTTGTTGTTTTGTTCTTGATTTTCTTCCAAAATAAAAATTTTATACTCAGCAAAATGCTAAAACATTCTGTCTTTAGTCAGAGCATTTGAATATAAATAGTTTCTAGTCAGAAGCTATTATGGTGTAGCCTGGAGTTTATAATACCACTCTGGGCATATATAATATATCTCAGGTCATCTAAACAGGTTCCCAGTAACAGTCTGGCCCCCGAGAGCAGTCCTGCTGAGTACCTCGCAGGAGCTGGGCACCATTCCAAGCACATCCCACCGTTAACGCATTTAGGCCTCACCACGGTCCTATAAGGTAAGTGCGATTATTAGCACCCTCCCTATTTCACAGGTGAAGAAACTGAGGCACAGGGCAACTTTCTAACTTGTACACGGGCAGCAAGGGTAGGACAGGTGGGTAACCAGGCAGCCTGGTACAAGACCCTTGTGTTTAACCACTACGTGCACTGCCTTTTTGGGGTGTGCGTCATTCCACTGCCCTGCCCTCCCTCCTTGCCTGTGGCTGCACTCCCCAGCAGTCTTCCTGCAGTGACGTGACTACCATAATGTCTGAGAGGGTTGGGGGGCGGGCAACAGTGGCACGTGATGAGCTTCGTTCTTCACAGAGCTCCATCACTCATAGTCGCCCTCAGCAGCCACACTTTCTGCACGCTTGGGAGTGGCATGTGGTGCAGCTGGGCCCTGCGCCTCTACATTTGACCCTCCAGGGTTAGCATGGTTTTGTCCAGGACAGCACTGCCCACAGCCAGTGGCACATGCCATCGCCTCCTGGGGAGGCCTCGTGTGGCCTGGGCACCTGAGGACAGCACTGAGCTCTTTCCCCAGGAAGGTCCGGGGGGGAAGCCGCCCGCTGTGTTAGGGCTGTGGGTGTTCTCCGTTGCAATTCATTAAGAGGATTTGATCGCTTATTTAAGGTCTGAAACCTTCCAGTGAGTAAACGCTCCCACTGAAGATCGAAGGCAGGCGGTCTTGGGGGAGGCAAAGAAATGACCTTGAGAACAGATGCCCAGGCCCTGCAGAGGGCAGACTTGCAGTTCACAGCAGGAAACTATCCCCGCAGTGAACACTGCAAGAAAGGCCGCGTGACTCCCTGGAACCCAGGCTGTGTTCGCACGCGTGTCCTGTTCCCTGTGGGCCGGGAACCGTGATAACAGTGTCGGGAAAATAAGTCGCAGCTGCGTTTTCACACAATAGCTCAGAGCATCACCTGCCAATTACCCTGTTGGCGCGAGAGGGCCCCGATGGGGTGGCACAGTCTCGGGATGGAGCAGTTTCCACCTGAGAAATGAAAGTCGAAGGAGCAGACCTGTAAACCAGCTCAGCGATTCCATTAAAACACAGCCCGTGCAGCCGGAGGCGGTGATCCTGGCGGGCGTCCCCTTCGATGGCTTCGGGGCCTACGTTGGGCTTTCGCTGGCTGGTCCTGCGTTGGAAGCAGGAACAGAAACTAGGGAAGCCGTCAGTTACCGATCCAGTCAGGCCATCGGAGGGCTATGGTTACAGAGGTTGCCGGACTGTCACCAGGGTTGGCAGCCTGATTCTCCACAAGAGCGACTGAACGTGAAGCAGGTTGGCTCCTGCGGTGGGCGGAGGTTTCCCGGGCAGGCTGCTGCAGGCTGCGTTCAGACTTCTGTTTTTATTCGTGGTCTGCCCATGGGCCCTGCCTGTGTGCACTCTCTCACACTGCTGTTCCATCTTGGAATTCTTGGAAAGGGGCCCCAGATTTTCATTTCATACGGGACCCTGGGAACAGCCATTCCCGCATTCACCTTCGGACCTGTGACCAAGGGAGCATGCCTGTGGTTTTGGTGGGGCTAACCCCACGTCAGTGGATCTAGCTGCAGCTGTCAGGTTTTAGCTTGGAATGGCTGATGGTCCTGTTCCCGAGGCCTGAGGGGCTCCTGGTTGGAGACAGGGTTTTCCTCTTTACAAAGTGCCTTTCCCACCCAGCGATGTTCATAAAAATAATGAAACTCAACACTCTGCTTCTCCGTATTTCGTAATAACCAGACAACTCCCCCCCTTCCGAGTCCGCGGCAGTGAGGATGGAAAAGCTCCCAGTGCCGCATCTCACTAACGGTGTGATGTTGAATAAGTCCCTTTCCCTCTTGGCCACTCAACCTGCTCACCTATAAAACGGGTATATCCATCCCACAAGGATAGGATTCAATCAGGTAATTTAGGCAAAAGCACACTGTGAACCTTTTGTTGCTGGACAGATGTAAGTTATTATTGATATTGACGTTTGGACTTGACGGATTTGGTCATGCAAACCTATGAGAGGGCAGCCTGGCAAAGGGTAGGACTCGGGGGCCAGAGGCCAGGGACAATGGAGGAAACCGGTAAGAGTGACGGAAAGTAGATCTGGAAAGCCAAGGACCACATTCCGATTCCTGGCTGGCTTGCTGCAAAAGCAGGAGGCAGAGTCTCTAAGCCGGGGAAGTGGCCAGTGCAGAAATCCATCCGACCACTGGGGGGAGGCCTAGGTTTGCTTGGGTATCAGGTTGGTGTCTATGGTATTTGGGTAAGCCCCCATCGTGGCTGCAGCTTTAATTTCATACTCGTTGCTCTGAAAGAAACACGAGACCTGTATTACTTCTCTTGCCTTTGTTTTTGTTTTGATTTTTAGAGAGAGTGAACGGGAGGGAGAGGGAGAGCGAGAGAGAGAGAAACATCCATTTCAGAGAGACACACATCCACTGGTTGCCTCCCTCGCGGGTTCTCCCGGGCACTGAAATTACCCTGTTGGCAGGGGTGGGGGCGGAGGACAGGCCCCCCGCGGAGGGCTGGGTCATAGGGCCTTGGAAAGTCCTGTGGGTTTTATCCTAAATGAGGTGGGACCCGCCCTGGAGGACTTGAAGCAGAGGAAGAATGCTAGGGTGATTTAAAAAGAGAAATTACAGGAGGATGCTTTTCTGTCTTCCCCATCTTTAACTTCTCCGCCCCTGGCCACGTTTTCAAAGCCAACCCCGCCCAGCACGGGCAGCGTGAGAGCCCAGAGGAACACTTGCATCGGTGGCGTATTTGCTGAAGCCGGGCTTCTGCGGCCTTTTCTAATCTGGCCGTGGACTTGGGCTCCGGCACTGCTTTCCCCACGTTGTCAGCTGTCTCTAGCTGCTGGGCTGCCTCACCACGGAGCAGTGTGTGCCCCAGCGCCAGGGCCCGTGGCTGCGAATCCCGAATCTGGGCCATGCCCAGCTGTGAACATGGTGACCAGCCGGCTTCTCTGCCCCTGTCTTAGGAGCTGTCATTTCCAGAAGCTATAACATGTGCCCCCCAGGCTTTTAGTGGAAATCTTAAAGGCTCTGCAAACGGAAAGCTGGTTGTTGTTTATTTTGGTAACTAATTTGGCATCAAAATGTGACCCGATTTGGTAGCAAAACCTCACCTGAACCGAGGCTACTAATAGCTCCTTATTTCGCCCACGGAGCTTCTTTTGCTGCAGAAACACGGATATAGTTGTGTCTTGCTGTGTTAGCATGTTCGGCTGCTGTGTGCTGTCCCTGGTCCTCTGGGGTGTCACAGACCACGCCACATGCACAGCACAGACGTCCTTAAGCTGGAGACTTCTGGATTTCGACGGACAGCTGGGCCAGGGTTTGGGTTGAAGGTCGTGGGTCTGCCTGTGTCCTATGACAGCAGCCATCGGGCGTAGTGCCTCGGCGTCAGATGGTCTGGCTTCGGCTACCACATACAGGCCTGTGGTCTTGGCAACCCCGGAACCTCCTGGACCCTCCGTTTCTTCCTCTGAAACAGCAGCCCCGACTGTGCTCTCAGCTCTGTGACAGATCTGCTTCTGGTTGACTCATTGCCTGCGTCTTCCTTCATCTCCCTCCCCCCACTT